AAACCCTAAACTCTAAACCCCAAACGGCAAAAGTGAGGTCAACTCCGGCTCCCTCGGGGGCTCTGCGCCAAGCTCTCGTCCAAGGCCCCCTTTGGGGGCCCAAGGTTTGGGTTTAGCGTTTAGCGTTTAGGGTTTAGGGTTTAGGGTTTAGGGTTTAGGGTTTAGGGTTTAGGGTTTAGGGATTAGGTCAGGGGTTTGGGTTTAGGGGTTCAGGGGTTTGGGCTTTAGGGTTTAGGGTTCGGGATTAGGGATTAGGGAGTAGGGATTAGGGATTAGGGTTTAGGATCCAGAGTTCGGGGGCTTCGGTTCAAGATGCACGGTCGAGAGTGGGGTTTAGGGAGCAGGGATGTTTTGCGGAGCTTTGGGATCCAGAGGTGGGCCTAGGGTTGGCGGTGTGGGATCAGTGTGTAGGTTTTGGGGTGTTTTAATAGTGGGGTCTGTCAGGGGTCTGTACCTTTCCAGGTTCCTTTGAGCGAGTTCTATCTTATATGAATACCATACTAGGGTTCTATATGGGGTTGAGGATTGAGAGATAAGTGTCCATCCTTGCGATATCTGCCACAGCTGACGGATTTCGAAAAATCTCGCCGGAGGAGATGTGAAATGCAGCCTGAATAATTACCTAACCCCGAAATCCCAAACCCTACTAGGTGCAGACCCCAAGACCAAGACCTTGTTCAAATTATTCAGGCCCCTTTTCCTTGGTCCTGGGCTGAAGCCCTAAACCCTAAACCCTAAACCCCTGAACCCTAAGCTCTGTGAGAGCCCAAACACATGACACTCCTTCAGAGCTTCTCAGGGACCCTCGTGTCTAGGACAGTGGAGACTTGCCCCTAAACCCCCTGAGCCCTAAACTCCATGATGAAATGCTAAACTTCGGTAGACTTGCCCCTAAAAGCCCAGGGATGCGCGCTGTAAATCTCTAACTGAGCGCTAAGCTCTCGAAGGACTGTGGATACTTGCTGTACCTCCTCGCCGCCCTTCTCGCGCAATGCTTCCCCGGCATCTCGGCTGCTAAACCCTAAACCGTAAACCCTGAAGCCCCTAAACCCCCAAAGCCCTCAATCCCCAAAGCCCTCAACCCCTAAATCCTAAACCCCTAAGCCCCTAAACCCCCAAACCCCTAAAAGGTTGAAACCCCTAAACCCTGAACCCTAAACCCTAAAGCCTCAAACCCCTAAACCCCGAAGCCCTAAACCCTAAACGCGGAGTTGTTCGAGCATGGCTCCGCTCGGAAGCCCGCAGCCCTCTCCAAAGGAAAATTCTTTGAAGCTAGGGTTTAGGGTTTAGGGTTTAGGGAATCTATAGCAGAAGCGAAGACTGGGTCCTTGTTGGCTTCAATTTTTACATTTGTGTTTTAATAAAACCCAATGAGGATTAAGAATGAACGTTTTTCATATAGGGAACGAGAAGAGTTGGAACATGGTACCCCAAAAAAGGGTAGGGTATGACAATCTCGGTATAGTAGAAGCCGAAAAGGTTGGAACATCATCATCCTCGTGCCTTTAAAGGTAAACCCTAAACCCTAAACCCTAAACCCTAAACCCTAAACCCTAAAGTATAGGGAATCCCAGCATGCTTTATCCTAAATCCCATGGTCCAACTCTCTGGGGTTCACTGTATACCTTGGGTTTAGGGTTTAGGGTTTAGGGTACAGCCCCCACTCAGTAACAGTTGGATGATATTTATATTATGGATATATTAGGGCCTTAATCGTAGCCCTATTATAGACTGTTACTGTAGGGGGGGGGGCAGTACCCAATGTATACCCTAAACCCTAAACCCTAAACCCTAAACCCTAAACCCTAACCCTAAACCCTAAACCCTAAACCCTAAACCCTAAACCCTAAACCCTTATACCCTATAGAATCGGTCGTAGGGGTCGGAGGCTCAGTTTCAAAACCTTAAGGACGACATGAACCTTAAAAGGGTTTGGGTTCAGGGTTTCAGGGTTTAGGGTGTAGGGGTTAGGGGTTTAGGGGTTAGGGGTTAGGGGTTAGGGGTTTAGGGTTTGAAGGTTCAGATACCTTATGGTGGTTCATAGTATAAGGGTATAGGGCCCCTACTTCTAAGGGTCATGTGGTCCCCAAGGAAATATGTCTTGAGGGTGCTTTCGGCGCTGGCACGTCTTGTACAACAAGTGTGTGACAGATCTCTTTCAGCAATGGCATATCTAAAGCTTACAAAGCTTCAGTAATTTGAGCAGATTGGTAGTATCATCCCCTTGAAGTCCTTATCAGAAGTATATTGCAGTATACCCCAAGATTTAATCAGCACAGCACTTATAGCTCCTTCAAAAGAGCCCTGTAAAAGGAGCCCTATTTTGACTCTTCGGCCCCTAAACCCCTATTCTAACCACTACGGTTGATGATATACATCCTGCTTCCTGTGTTACCCGTACTAAGGCATATACCATAATTCCCATAGTTAAGGGTCCTTGAGGTAATTCAGGATTTCTACTATCAACAGTATAAACCCTAAACTCTAAACCCGAAACCCTGAACCCCTAAACCCCAAACCCTAAACCCCAAACCCCAAACCCTAAACCCTAAACTCTAAACCCCCTATTCTAACTGTTAACAATTAGGTCGGCCTCGGCTTCACCCAGCCTGAGATCGTTGCCACACTGGAGATGGCCGCGCCGGGCCCCGAGAGATTTTGTCAAAGAGATGTGGTGTAGAGTTCAGGGTTTAGAGGGTCCAGGGTGTCTAGGGGGTTTAGGGTTTAGGGGGTTTAGGGTGTAGGGGGTTCAGGGTTTAGGGGGTTTAGGGTGTAGAGTTCAGGGTTTATTGCATGCAACTGTGTAGCTGAGTAGATATCTTCAAACAGTTTTGCTGTATGTTACCAGCCTCATGCTCCGATGTTTATGACATGCTTTCGGGGCAGGTACTCGGCGTTCGTATCCGACTGGAGTATATATTTCCGTGAACCTATCCATTACAGCGTCATTAAGGTATCAAGGCCCTACCTATGCAGTTGAATGATTCGTTTCAACAGAGCTGCATGCGTGGTATACACATGATTTATGAGTCTAACTACCTATATTACCTGAGGGGATCCTATGATCAGAAGTGTGACGTGCAGGCACATCCACCGCAGCTGGCAGATCTATTGGTTTAGGGTATTGGGTTACCTTGAACCCCAACCCCCCCAAAAACCGTGAACCCTGAAAACCCTGTGCCCTACAACACCAAACCCCCACACCCGGCATAGACCGCAAACCCTACATAGGGGTCTGAATAATTACCTTTACTATTTGGGGGGGGGGGGGGCTCCTTATGAAGATTATAGTATGATGAGCCCCAAAGCCCTATTCTACTTATTTAAGGCCCCTACATTATAGACCCCATTGTCCTCAGCTCCGAGACAGCAACGTCGAAGCCGTTACCGTTACAGTAGCCATTGCAACGGAACCCTCGATTCCGTCAACCATGAAGGGACTTCTTTCAGAATGCCCTGCATTGCGAGAAACCCCGAGCACTTGACAAACAGAAGTCTCAGTACCTGACAACACATATCTCACATAGCCGTATATCTTAATTCCTACATGTTTTCTTACTGTATATACCTCAAAACCCGTGCTCGAGTTAATTCTTCAGGCCTCCGCTATAGTAAGCCTTAGAGGCCGAATCCCTACCCCAAGCGTCAAACCCAGAGCCCCGAACTCTGAGTTAGCAAGGCCTACATGAGTTTAGGGTTTCGAGTCCCGGGCTAAGTGGAGTCCATGTATTGATAGAATTAGTACGTGATATACTTAGGCCCTAGGCCTTAAAGTA